CGTTTTTAATGAAATTTTATGAAAATGGGCTGGCACCGCCCTAAGCCTAAGCGAAATGTGTTCACCAAATTTGGTTAAGATCGGTCGAGTAGTTTTTGAGATACACATATATGATATAAATAAGTAGGCGGTGCCACCCCGCATTTTCCAAATATTTATTGACAAACCACTTTTTTGCTAAAGTGCGATTGTATATATCAATTTTAAATAAATACTGATGAATTCCTTAGCTACACTGCTCAAAAAATCTGAACTTCCGGCACATACACACATTCAAGGCCGTATTTAAGAAAAGTCGCCTAATTTCGACAATTTTTATGCGATTGCAATATAAGAGCAATCTGTTTATTTAAAAATAGATTTAATTTTGGAAACCCCTCATATTTTGAAATTGTGGAAATTATCGATGGTAAAATTTAAAAAATTAAGAGAAATATGGTTTATTTTCTTAATTTGCCCTATACAAAATCTCAACAAGCCAAGTCCGACAATAGATTATTATATACCATTTTGAAGACCTACATATATATCCTCTTCTCAGATCATATTCGATCTTTGAAATCGAACCAAAAATAGTTATTCAAAAACTCATAAATCTACCAAATCGTATTTTCTGACCTAAATCGACAGGTCGCAACCTCTACATGAGCTTTAAAAATGTATAAAAATAGGCCATAATATTTCTCATAAAAACGAATAAAATAAGGGGTAGGGTCTTGAAATTTCCTAGTACATATAATTAAGAAAAATACGTTTTTTATGTAGGTATATTTAGTCTATTTAATGACCAGGGCTCGGAATCTCATGCAAATGCATGTTTTTACTGGACATCTTCAAATGGAAATTGTTAAGTTATCTTTAAGAATCATGAAATTTCCTTTAAGATGGTATCTTGTAGTAAATTCATGATTTTTCATATTTATTGCGCTTATTTTAGTATATTTTACAAAAGATGCTTATGGTTTTTGCATATTTTTGCTTTTTTGATTTACAGCCATTTAAAGTTTGTGCGAAATCTCTAAAAAAAAAATTTCCTATAAATTTTTCCAACAATTTTTATTGAGCTTGAGGTCGTTTTTAATGAAAAACTATTGTGGAAAAGCAACAGCATTTTGAAAAATCACCACATTTCCTCATCAGACTTCTTCAGCAGGATTCGAACCGACGACCCCAGCCAGTACTTAAATTTAAGTTGCAACTTTGTTAGTTTCGACTTAGTTGCTGGACTATGAATACGCGCCATTCTATTTTACGTTTATTTTGTTCACTACATAACCCAAAATGGATAACTCAGCCGAAATATGTGCATTCTTTCGTTGAATTTTATTCAGCCCTATTCTGCATTTCGACTCGAATCGAAATTTTCTCCGTTTGGCAACTTTGGTATTCTACGTTCCGTTTCCTTTCGATCAATCTTCGAAATTTACGATTATACCTATTCTTCATTTCGATCGTAGTTCCGTTTTTCTAAGTTGCAAATTTGTTGACGGAGAACGTTTCAATTGTTATTTTCGTGGGTTTAAATAATAAAATTTTATAAAAAATTTAAGTAAAATATACTGTGCATGATTGTAAAAGTCATCATAAATGAATTTTTTCGATTTCTGTGTTTTCGCGAGCGGTAATACGGGGAATACGAAAAATTGGCTCAAATAATGGCAACCAAAAGGGATATTACGCGAGGTTTTCAAAAAGGAAGTCCAGGCGTCTTTGATTTCATTATCTATAAATAAGACTGTGAAATGCACTGAATACAATTTATTCTTTTTATATAAAATTAATACATGTATGCACATAGATACATACATAGATAAAATGTGAAGTTACATAAAAACGATGTTTTTATTATTGCACTCNAATGAAAAACTATTGTGGAAAAGCAACAGCATTTTGAAAAATCACCACATTTCCTCATCAGACTTCTTCAGCAGGATTCGAACCGACGACCCCAGCCAGTACTTAAATTTAAGTTGCAACTTTGTTAGTTTCGACTTAGTTGCTGGACTATGAATACGCGCCATTCTATTTTACGTTTATTTTGTTCACTACATAACCCAAAATGGATAACTCAGCCGAAATATGTGCATTCTTTCGTTGAATTTTATTCAGCCCTATTCTGCATTTCGACTCGAATCGAAATTTTCTCCGTTTGGCAACTTTGGTATTCTACGTTCCGTTTCCTTTCGATCAATCTTCGAAATTTACGATTATACCTATTCTTCATTTCGATCGTAGTTCCGTTTTTCTAAGTTGCAAATTTGTTGACGGAGAACGTTTCAATTGTTATTTTCGTGGGTTTAAATAATAAAATTTTATAAAAAATTTAAGTAAAATATACTGTGCATGATTGTAAAAGTCATCATAAATGAATTTTTTCGATTTCTGTGTTTTCGCGAGCGGTAATACGGGGAATACGAAAAATTGGCTCAAATAATGGCAACCAAAAGGGATATTACGCGAGGTTTTCAAAAAGGAAGTCCAGGCGTCTTTGATTTCATTATCTATAAATAAGACTGTGAAATGCACTGAATACAATTTATTCTTTTTATATAAAATTAATACATGTATGCACATAGATACATACATAGATAAAATGTGAAGTTACATAAAAACGATGTTTTTATTATTGCACTCGTTTTTACTAACTTTTTAAAAAAAGGTGCGTATGTTGTCTCGAATTCGATTTGTTATGGAAAGATAAGCTTTGTTCTTTCCCCCCTCCTGTCGGCTTTCAAAATGGGATTCATTTGCGTTCAAATCTTCCACTCTGTAGTAAATGCAAATGTTGTGGAGTGCTCAAACAACGTTTATAATTTCACTGACTTTAAGCGATGAGTAATATAGTTCAAGATGAATTCCTTATGACTCTTCACTCATCTGAAAAAGATCAAACATGTCCCTAAATCTCCGCCTTTCAACTTCCGCATCAGCAATCTGGGACTCGTTCCTCTCTTCAAGCAATAACGCCGCGGCTATGGATTTCATTCTTATAATTATGTATCCACTTAAATTTTATTTTTAAATTACAGTGATGCTAGGTGTATTTAGTTATTTTAAAATATTTACAAACTTTAACTTCATATGCTGCTATAGTTTGGTGGCAAATATTTCTTTGTTTTGTTTCGATTTCACACATTCCTAGGCAAACAGCTGATTTCGAAAGATGTTTTCTCTCTTCCTCTTCTTCTTTCGTTTCGATCGTAACGCAGAATACCTAAGTTCGATTCCAGCGGAGCGGAATGCGGGAACGTAATCGAAATGCAGAATAGGGCTGAATAATGTAAGCCGCGCCTATGAAATTCTAAAAGTGAGATTTTACAATGAGACTGCTCGCAAAATTGCAATGTTTGTGGGCAAAACGTCCACCTTGATTGCGAATCGATCTGAACCAACAGTCGCAACGTTTAAGATTTGCATTATGTGAAAATGATGTGTTTGTTTTCACCCCTATTCTGCAACTGTTTCGTATTCGGATTTTGCTACGAATCGTAGAAATAGTATGCTGCAATCCGCATCGTATTTTCAAACTTTCGAAATTCGTAACAATGTCATGCCTAAAAACGAACGAGTAAGCTTTTTTGCGTAATTTTGTACGAAAACAATTGTGTGTCGGAGGCGAAATAAAAGATGTAATTCTATGTGTGTTTGCAAGAAATATTGTTGGTGTTCATTTAAACAGATAAATTTGCCTTTCGCATATACGTATATTTTTGTCCACTGCTTTATATAAACGAGAAAAAAAAGGATCTTGGTTGCCCCTTATCGAGAAACTTGGGTTTAGTTATTTGTACAACGATTTTCGGTTGTTGTATCCAAACGCATAACCCCAATCCAAAAACTTTAACATACACGTGTAATCAAAGGATTCACATTTTATTTAAGATACATGTTTCAAATTTCCTACCACTAGCTTATTAATAAACGCGGTTTGCACTATGCACTTTTTTGCAAATTTCGATGTGGGTCCTGCGCAAAAATACTATGGACGGCGTAGCCGGAGTGATATGCACAAGAAATGTTATATACTTTTGACATGCGGAAGCCCCTCTTCCCCGCAATACAAAGAGGAGAATTCTACTTAGTAAGGGTTATAATTCCTAAGCGCGGCCGAAGGCAGAAGCAAGCGCAACAGGTGGTGGACCTAACAAAGTGCATGTTTTCAATGGCTTGGAAGGAGCTGTTATTGCATTAACTGGATCGAGAACCAGAGCTTCAGGCATAGGAGGAGTTCTGGCTTGTGGCTCAACAATTCAACCAGAAGCTGACATAGATGCCCGACAGCTCCGCATACCTGTGAATCCATTGCCATAGCGCCCTCTTACTCTGCTGCTATAGTTGCAGATGCATCAGAACCCATAATTTTCCTCAAAATATGTAAAATTAACCAATTTTACAATAAACAAACACATGATCAGTGTTTTTTTATATTTATTTTCCACATTGTTTTCCTTCATTCAGCTATCTTCGAAAAACAACTGATAGCTGGCAATGCTGCATATGTTTCCGCAAGGATTGCAGCATGTGGATTTTTCGTTTTTCGTACCATAGCTACGAATTACGAAAATTCGGGTTGTAATGAAATGTGGAACGATTTTCCGTCATCCCTTGTCAAATTTGGTTTGGAGACAAACCGGTTTCGGCGTTGTGCCATCTTCAGTGTCATTTTTCGTTCTGAATAGTTTCTGTTTGTCTGTCACTATTTATAGCCGTGTTAAATCGTCGTTGGTTCATAGTTAGGTACGTCTCAGCGGATTATATTCTTTCGTTCAAACAGTAGTTTCAGTTCTGTGTGTACACCCTCAGGTAGAAATTAGCTGCTCACCTCTTTTTTGATTAATTGTTGCATGGATTCGCAGGTAGGTAAAAATCAGTTATTTTCTTTCTTTTTGTTTCTGTAGTTTGGACCTGCATTTCATTGTTTATGGTAGTTGCAGGGTTTCTGTTTTGTTTTGCGTATAGTAGCCTGAGTGGTTCGAATAATATATCAGATGCGGTGTTTATTTGCTCATTTATTATTTTTCCGACGAACGTCGTTTGTTTTTTGTATATCTCCATATTCTCTAATACGTTTAGGCGTTTCCTTTGTGCTGTGCATGGAGAACTTTGGCTGTCTTTCCAATTTTCATTGGCGTACAATGGTTTTCTGCCATATGGTTTGCGAAGTTCGATTCCGGGGTGGTAGAAGGTTTTAGCATTTTTTTGTTGTAGTCCCTTATATGTTCACGATATCTTGTTTTTATCTTGCGCCCTGTTTGTCCTATGTAACTATGTTGACATTCGCAAGTCAACTTATATACACCTTGCTTGTCTAGTGGGTCTTCCTCGTTTGCACTATTTCGTAGTATCCTCCCCACATTGTCCTTCGTTCTAAATGCTGTATTAATGTTATACTTTTGGAATACCTTAGCCAATTTATATGAAGTTTTGCCCGTATAAGTCAAGACTGCCCAAGCCTTTTCATTATTTTCCTTCTTATTTGATTTCTTCGTTTTTGTTTCTCTTCTTATCTTGTTTACTAGGCCCTTTCTGTATCCGTTATTTTCCGCGATTGCGTATATCGTATTAAGTTCTTTGCTGTAAGCTTCTTTTTCCAATGGGGTTCGTTCAAGCCTGGTTATTAGATGTCTAAAGGCTGCATTTTTGTGCTGTTGAGGGTGGTTTGAAGTATTGTGTATTATCGTGTCTGTGGCCGTGGGCTTTCTATATATCCCGAATTCGCATTTGTTGGTAACCTTATTTATTTTAATTGTTATGTCCAAATAGTTTATTTTGCCTTCGTTTTCCTTATCCATAGTGAAATTTATATTCGTGTGTTGGTCGTTGAGATAGCCTAGAATTTGTTCTTCCTTGTCTCTCGTTACAAGACATATGATGTCATCGACGTATCTTGCGTAGAACTTTACTCCCAGGCTTGTCAGCTCCGTCAAATACTTTTCCTCTAAATATTGCATGAATACTTCCATTAAAATTGCAGATGTGGGATTACCCATCCCTAGCCCGTTAGTTTGTCTATATATTTTCTTATTAAACTTGAAGTAGTTTTGGTCTAGTGTTACCCTCAGTGTGTTCACGATTTCCGTTGCTATGTTCTTGTCCGTTTATTCTATCAAAGTTTTAGTCAAGATGGTAACTGTTTCTGCCGTTGGTATCGATGGGTAAAGATCCTTAACATCAAATGATACAAATTTCGCATCTTTGGGTATTTCTAGCGATTTTATCCTTTCAATTAACTCCGCTGTATTCGTAATTGTGTATTTATTGGGCAGTTCCAGTTTTTCTTTCAGCAACGATTTTAGATATTTCGATAGTTTGTATCCTGGTGCAGATTTATGGTTGATAATTGGTCTCATCGGATTTCCTGGCTTGTTGGGAGTGCTATCATTGAAGGGGCCGAAGGATTCATTAATGTCACTGTATATGCTTTCCTTGGATTTATTATTGTCTTTGCTTGTTTTATTGCGTGCTTTACTGCCACTGGGTAGTCATCGGTTGGGTCCTTTCTCATCATCCGGCAATTTGTCTCTTTGATTAGTTGCTCTGTCTTTTCTTTATATTCTTTTTCGTACATTATTACCGTTGAGTTCCCCTTGTCTGTTTTTGTTGTGATTACTTTATTCGTTTTGAGTTTTTTCTTTAGCCCTTTGACAGTTTTATTTTCGTCGCTTAGTTTTTTCTTATCTTATATAGATTTTATGCGTTTTTCAATTATACGTCTACATATGTGTCTTGCATGATCTTGATCCTCGCTTGGTAGTAATGATATGGCCATTTCCGCGTCTACAATAGTGTGCTCTACCTCTTTATTTTTATCATAATTTTCTATGTTGTGTTTCAGACCTTTTTCCAATATTTCTGTCTCTTGTTTGCTAATGGGAACCTTAGTCAAATTTACGAATCTAGAATGGAAAGGCATTTCGCTGTGTTGTATGTTCTTTGTGATGTTTTGCTTTCTATTGAGGTCATCGAGTTTTTTGTTTAATTTATTGTATTTTTGTCCCATAGATTTACTGATATTCTCCTTTATTTCATCTAATATCTCCAGCAGCGTGCTGACAGGAAGAAGTTCCGCTAGTTCTAAATGAATGGAAAGTAGCTCCTCATTTGTGCGTTCTTTTTTGGCATACAGGTTCTTAATTTCATGTCGGAGGAAGCTGTTTTCTGCTCTTTTCAAGATTTTTCGCCTTTGCTTCTTGCGAATTTCGGCGTAACATTTAGTGTTAAACATTGTTTATTGAACCAGATGTTTGCGTTGGTGTTGTGTATTTTCAATTGTCTTCTTTGGTATGTTGTCAAAAGCATAATCGTCCTTGAGTGATAAGCCTGACTGGCATTCATATTCTCATTTTCGCTGTTGGTGTTTCCGACAGGGTAGGAGTGTGATGTAATGTGGAACGATTTTCCGTCATCCCTTGTCAAACTTGGTTTGGAGACAAACCGGTTTCGGCGTTGTGCCATCTTCAGTGTCATTTTTCGTTCTGAATAGTTTCTGTTTGTCTGTCACTATTTATAGCCGTGTTAGATCGTCGTTGGTTCATAGTTAGGTACGTGTCAGCGTATTATATTCTTTCGTTCAACCAGTAGTTTCAGTTCTGTGTGTACATCCTCAGGTAGAAATTAGCTGCTCACCTCTTTTTTGATTAATTGTTGCATGGATTCGCAGGTAGGTAAAAATCAGTTATTTTCTTTCTTTTTGTTTCTGTAGTTTGGACCTGCATTTCATTGTTTATGGTAGTTGCAGGGTTTCTGTTTTGTTTTGCGTATAGTAGCCTGCGTGGTCCGAATAATATATCACATGCAGTTTTTATTTGCTCATTTATTATTTTTCCGACGAACGTCTTTTGTTTGTATATCTCCATATTCTCTAATACGTTTAGGCGTTGTCCTTTGTGCTGTACATGGAGAACTTTGGCTGTCTTTCCTATTTTGATTGGCGTACAATGGTTTTCTGCCATATGGTTTGCGAAGTTCGATTCCGGGCTGGTAGAAGGTTTAAGCATTTTTTTGTTGTAGTCCCTTATATGTTCACGATATCTTGTTTTTATCTTACGCCCTGTTTGTCCTATGTAACTATGTTGACATTCGCAAGTCAACTTATATACACCTTGCTTGTCTAGTGGGT